GTTACGATCATGAAGATGTTGCAGGACAAGTCAGCTTTTCACTCTTGTGCGTGGGGTCTCCATGAGTCAGGGTCAACTTGACGGCAGCTAACAGCAACAAATGACAGTGCAGGCTAGACGTACACAATTCCACAGTAAAATAGTAAGTCCAGATGTATAGAATAGCTCACTGGATTAAACTTCAGTACTTCAAATGTTTCCATAAATAGAAATTATGATGTTAATTCTCAACAATATATATTTTGAATGGTAAGTATAAGTGAAGTTGCTTTTTAACTTTTAATGATTTTAAGAAAAAATTTTTATTATTTGACGTTAGAAATAACTACTCATGAATAAAAACAAACAAAAATGTTAGGCAAAAAATTATCTTCCAAAGGTCCTTTTTACTTACCTGTTCTTGTTAGTTGCCATCATGATGATTCTAACTTACACTTCAATATTACTGTAACAAAGCACTCTAAAATCTTAAAAATTATATATATGTCAAGGAAAAATATTATTCACAGTTTATTCATGTTTTTATTGTGCTTTAGGTGAAAGTTTACAGCTCAAGTTAATCTCTCATACAAAAATTTATACACATATTTATAGTTTATTATTGAGAAAAAATAAAACTATTCTAAGTCGTTTATGTAAATTATCTCATCTTCAACCAAATCTTCCAAAATGCTTTTTCTGTAGCAAGCCATTTTTTAATACTTTCATGTGTTTTAAACATGAAAAACTTAGACCAATATAAAAAGAAGATAATGGAAATAGCATGTCTTATTTATTTAAAAGATTGATAAGCTGTGACAGCAGAGGCTCTCTGATCAATAGCCTTGCACCCTGAAAAAGATACACAAATTAAAAGTCTCCATTTCCTTCTGGAAATAGCAGCGTTAGAATGGAAGTTTCCAAAAAAGGCTGCTAATCAGAGTATCATACAAACGACTATATCAAAAAACTGAGGTAATTAAGTTATCTCTTCGATTCCCCTACAGGATATTCTAATTAGCATAGAAACATTTCCTTAATTTGTTGTATTCACCAAGGACAATACGGTTCTTAGAGTTGTATTTGCTATTTTATTGCTTGACCAGAAAAAAAAAAAAGAAACCATTCATGTCGAGTCGATTCCAACTCACAGCGACCCGATAGGACAGAGTAGAACTGCCCCCTAGTGTTACTAAGGTTGTAAGCCTTATGGAGGCAGACTGCCACACCTTTCCCCCGTGGAGCGGCTGATGGGTTCAAACCACCGACCTTTTGGTTAGCAGCCAAGCATGTAACCACTGTACCACCAGGGCTCCTCTTATTGCTTGACAACAATTTCTGTTTTATTGCCTCTGAGTAAAAATATGTAGGTGTGCCTTGCAAGAAATAATTGATTACCCATAATCAATCTGTTGCAAAACTGACTATGGGAAAATGAAGCATTATTAAATCACTATGGAAATCTTATTGGTTATCAAGTTTATACCCTTTGTGGCAGACACTCTTGCCCTCATCCTTTTCTTCCTCATCAGCAGAATCCCATTTTAACTGATTCAACTACTCTCCCCCTCTGAAACCTGTGGGTTTCAGTGATGTGGGCAAGGCTGACCCAGCCCTCAGCTCAGGGGATGGGGTCTGATTAATCAAGACCAATTGAAGTAGTACCATCCACCTCGGCCAGAGACTGGTTCAATTATCTAGGGTTAAGCCAACTAAGACTTGATGGGCCCTTGAGCTAAACTGGCCTAATCAATCCAAAGGAACGGTATTCCATGGAAACAGAAGAGATTCTCTACGTCTCCTTCTCTGATTCTCCATCTTTCTATCTTGTTCAAGGCAAGAGCAAGAAAGCATGTCGCCCCACTTGCTGCTGGTGCTCATCTTGAGAAAGGAAGCCAGAGTGAGGACAAAGCTGACGTACAGAGAGGCAGAGCTGAGAATGGAGGACAAAGCCCTGACACTACCCTGCCTTAGGCTCTCCCTTGCTTCTGGTATCTTGTTATAAAAGATGAAACACTTCTTCATGGCTAAAGCCAGTTTTATTTGGGTGTACTCCAGCTTGCAGAAGGAAACATCCTAACTCATTCACATAGCCTGTGATGAGGAATCCAGATATTGCATATGGACAAACTGATTTTAAGTTTAATTTCCTGAAGTTTTTCGGAGTTGTCATCTATCTATGTTAAGTCTATTAAGGTTTCTAAACAACTCCTGTCTCAGATATTCATCTCAGAGATGAAAGTTACAGGGTCTCAAAGTCAGCACTACCAGTCTTTCGAAGACATAAACACTGCAATTTTGCTCCACCAGGGAGATACAGCCTATACTTTCACCTTCCTTCTCCCACTCAACATCCAATAAATCTGTTATTCTATTTCCTTAATGCTTCTTCAAGCTATATCATCACCTCCTTCTTCAAAAACATTCCTTTGATCCCTTATCCCCCTCCAGGGGAACTGTCCAACTTCTCTGTTCCCATTCAAAGAAAAATTTCTCAAAAGTGGTGTCTGAAATTCCTGTCTCCTCCTCCATATCTCTAATTCTATCATCCACTCTCTCCAAATGGGGTTCCATTTCCACTGTCCCACTGAAATGACTTCTATCAATGGCCTCCATTTTGTCAAGCCCAACGGTGACATCTATATTCTCAACTTAATCTCCTTTCTTCTTCTTGAAACAGTTTATCTTCTAGGTTTCCCTGATACTACATATTTTTCTTTTTCTTCTTAACTCACAGGCTGTTCCTTCTTGATCTCCTCTGCTAACTCCTTCAGTACTCAACCTCAAAATGCTATTTATAATCCTGTCTCCCCTGTTGGACTGGGAACATGTTAAAGACAAGAAGTTTCTTACTTATCTTTATGTCAGTAACTGGCACTGCAGGCACTCAGTGAGTGCTTGCTGAATTGAACTGAATCTAATTGATGCCATGCCATTTAAAAAGTACACCCATAAAAAACTAAACCTGTTGTCATCAATTCCAACTCAGAGCAACCCTATAAGACAGGGTAGAACTGTCCCATAGGGTTTCCAAGGCTGTAAATCTTTACAGAAGCAGACCACCACATCTTTCTTCCATGGAGTGACTGGTGGGTTTGAACTACCAACCTTTCAGTTAGCAGCCGAGTACTTAACCACTGTGCTACCAGCGCTCCTCTCAAAAGTACGCATATACAAAAAAGAAAAGAAAAAGAAAAGAACAGAAGAGTTATTTATTTATTTTTTTAGTTAAAATAATATCTGGTCCATGTAATAAAAATACTAGTTAACATTCACTGAGTGCTCATTATGCTATGAATTTTATGTGAATTATCTCTCTTAAGGGAGCCCTGGTGACGCAGTGGTTAAGAGCTATGGCTGCTAACCAAAAGGTCGGTACGATGGTTAAGATTGTGTGTTGACTTGGCTGGGCCATGATTCTCAGTGTTTATATGTGATCACTCCCATGATGGAATTTGCTGTGAGCAGTCAACCAACGGAAAGGGAGTTTCCCTGGGGGGGTGGCTTGCATCTGAATATAAGCAGACGTTCTGGCTTTTGGCTTGCTCTGGATCCTGTGGCTGCCTCCTGTTCGTCTGACCTCCGGTTCTTGGGACTTGAGCTATCAACTTCTCTGCCAATCCTGGGATTCATCGATCTTCACAGCCTGTGAGCGGAGTCCTGCTTTCCAACCTGCCGATCTTGGGTTCGCCAGCCCCTCCGGCTACATGAATCCGGAGAAGCCTTAATCCTAATCCAAGGATTTGGGATGTTTCAGCCTCTACAATTGTGTGAGCTGTTTCTTCAATATAAATCTCTCTCTGTATATATTTATACACTTTACTAGTTTTGCTTCTCTAGAGAACCCAGCCTAAGACAGTCAGCAATTGGAATTCAC